CTTTCACATTTGAATAAAGTCTCAGTGTCTGAGCCTATTTATTTTCTTCCTTTATAGCCAATGGCACCCAGATTGACACTATCAGCTACTTAAACACGCTTTGCCCCGACAAAGAGCCCTGGCCTGACATTCGTGCACTAATAGTGCTCAGAAGGCTTCATTACTCTCCAACTGGCCCGATAGCGAGAATATTTACAGGCCCATGTTAAATCCTCTCGAGACCCCCATGTATGTTTTCTTCTCAAGACTGCTACCTATGATATATAATAAGATAAACCCGTCTCCAAACCCTGATGTTTGGTTTTATTTGAATTTAAATAAACTTGAACATGCAATGTTTTTTGCCTATTGCTGCTTTACTGTTGTGAATACTCCCTATATCGGGTGATTGGGGAAATAAACCAAGCAGTCGCTGGAATAACCATTTTACCCGACGAATGGACAAGATTATCTTGTAGAGCCGCCTAAATATCTATTTCCTCCGCCAATTGTCTAACGTAATTCGTGGTTAATCATTTAAATCTTGGTTAGCGAGTGAAAATGAATATTTAATTGTGTTGGAAGCGATCAAAAATATTAAATTAAAGCGACTTATATTTGTTTCAATGAGCTTAAGAGAATCAACTCCATTAACATAAACTCCTGTTGTTCAGGTAATTGATGCCTATTGATGGAAATTTGACCTTATCTTGGCGGAATTTAAAGAAAAAAAGGGAAACCGGCCTTATCTTGGCGGAATTTAACGAAAAATGGAAAGTCCGGCTACATAAAATGTAAAAATAGGTCATTGTTATGAGTCAAAGGCAAAAAGGACCACTAAAGCCAACTTATCACCAGGGACAATCGCATATAGGGGATGTTCCTTGATATGATTTTCTGCCACAAAAAGTTTGGCGGCCTAAAAACTAAAGCCTTCGTGAAAATTGTGGACAGGAAGTAGAAGCACAAGTATCCAGGCAGTTACAAAATCGATTTCCCAAGGAAGCCATATAAGGGCTTTGAGACGCACTGTCGCAAATCGGAATACAAGGTTACTGTTCTGTAACACCTTCGGCGGGTGTTCCGGGCAGCCTGTACTTGCTCAGACGAAACAAAACACGAAATCACATCGGCCTTGAATTTTGGCGGTGCTTTGAAGCGCCCAGACGATTTTGAAAACTATAACCCACCTTCTCACACCACTTAGATTTAAAATTGCACACAGATCTGAGACAAATATCAGGTGCCCGGTACTGAGATTAATGATCCACCCTCCAGGTATAATGTGTCTGGAATCGGATGCTGAAGTGGATGCAATCGCAAACAGAGTAAGCTGGTCGAAAAAACTGGATTATTACTATAGACGCAGATGGCTG